TCTCTAACCCCCAACAACATTCTATCCTTGGAAAGTAAACTGCCAGTTAAAGTGGGGACTTCAAGCCAGATGGGGACTGCATCTCCAGTATCATACAGAGATCACCAGCGGCCAAACTGGTTTCTTCTTATCATCTGAAATGCTGTAAAGTAACGGAGTGAGAATAACATCAGCTACTTTCCTTTGTAAACAAGAACAGAGTAATGGAACTGTATCTTTCACAGAGAAGTGTCTGTTTTAATAATTATAATTTGCCCTGATCCTCAGTACCACCTTTCATCTGTTACTGTAGGTCTTCTGCAGCTTCTTTGAAAAACAAGTGTACTAAATGAATTAATCTTTATAACTCTTTTGTGATGTCACTAAGTATCATTGCCCTTGCTTTATAAATAAGGAAGTTGAGGCCCAGAGAAGTTAGGTGATTTGTTCAAGGTCACAAAGTGAATCAGTGGTAGACCTAGGAATAGAACCCAGTCCTTCCCATGTGCTAATCCTGGAAAAATCCTGGCCCCCCTGAAGCCAATGGGAGTTTTATCACTGGTTTCGGTGGGAGTAAGATCAAGTCCAAGGTTAGTTCTGAGCAAACAATTTATATAATTGGTGGAATGGAAGACTGACAGACAGTTTTGGTTTGTTTTTTTTTTTTGGGGGGGGGGGGGGGAATGGAGGCAGGGAGGAGAATAAGTGGAAGAGGGAATTCTGCAAAGTTGTTTGGTTCCGCGATTATAAATCCTGAAACGCTGCGAGTTTCTGGAGCTGGCATCTCACTTAGTAGAGTGGAAAGGTATTTACTCCCTTGTTGGCAGCCAGATACTGCATCGCTGACTGCAGTTCAAACTTTCTCCCTGTAGAGTGTTCAAACCAAGATAAACAAGCAACATTCCTTGCAACTTTTAAACATCAGACTCCTTCACCCACAATGGTGTTAGATAGCCTGACCAACAGAACACCCATTGCTGAGGAAAGAAAGTCAAGCCAGGATCCTGGTCAAACTATACAGACTGAACCCTACATTAAGCCATACAGTGTTACACCCATGCTACAGCAGTAATCCTACACTTCACACCAAAACTCTGGAGGCCTAGCTCATATCATACTAGCAACTCACTCCCCAGCCCAGAGCAGGGCACAAAAACATTTTTGACAGACTGTTTGCTGTGGGATCTTCCAGGCAGAAACACAAAGTGTTTTACCTCTAAAGCAACGATCAGAGAGCACAGACCGTTTTGCCTCTCCTCACACTTTCCATTTGTTGGACTGGAAATCAAACGGAGACATACAGACATAGAATCCTGTAACAGTGCGTGAGGTGGAAGAAAAGCCACTAGTGGAACAGTTCGCTTTAGGCATGGAGATCAATCCTGGAGAGAAATATTTAACCCTGGTTTGTGCAATGGCCATTGTAGCCTATAGGGTTAGCTTACCTTTATTATATTCACGGCTTTGCCTTCATTCTGCCTTTATTATATTCAGCAGTAATGCAAGGAACCTACAGGCCTGTATCCTATAAGACATTAGCTTCCGCAGTTATCATCAGGCTTGAGGCCTATAAACTCTGGCACAGGTAAACGGCCCAATGGAAAACCCCAAGTATTGATTGGTAAGCTGAAAGAGAGTGTTTAAGGGGAAATCCCACACAAGAATGTCATTAGCGATGAATTGATGTACATGATAACTGGTACATAAGCTACCGCGCATACTGAACCATAAGGGTGCCAAGGCAACGAATTGACATATATGATAACAAATTGAGATCACTGATACACTAACCTATAGGAGAAGGACACCAAACATTAGCAAGGTAAGGAAATACAAATAAGGAAGAGGGGAGAAACCCCAACTGAATAAGAATCAGACATAGTGGTGTCAGCGTAACATATTAAAAAATTTGCATCCCAGCCTATGAGCAGTAGGAGAAAGATGTAGCCCGTGGGAGATGCCAGAATGATGGCCACTGGTGATGTGGGGCAAGGTAATGAGGAAGATGATGACTAACATTTCAGGTTGGTCTGCAAGGGATGGTGTAAGTATATGGATGTTCAGAGGTACATTCTGTAGTATCTCTATCTACCTTACTGGGCTGGAGTGTTTGTGACTGTGCTAAATGTTAATAAAATTATTGGTAAATATAGAAGAGTTCCTATAGTGTGAGTGTTGCAACTGTGCACATCAGGGTTCCCAACTACATAATAATTTGAACAACACTGGGCCTGATCTTAGGACAAGAACCCGTCAACCCTCAAAGTGATAACTGGGAACTCTTAAAAAGAAAAGGAGTACCTGTGGCACCTTAGAGACTAACAAATTTATTTGAGCATAAGCTTTCGTGACCTACAGCTCACTTCACTGAATGCATCCGATGAAGTGAGCTGTAGCTCATGGAAGCTCATGCTCAAATAAATTTGTTAGTCTCTAAGGTGCCACAAGTACTCCCTTTTCTTTTTGCGAATACAGACTAACAAGGCTGCTACTCTGAAACCTGGGAACTCTTAGTAATCTATAGATTTATTAATTACATTGATCAGGCTAGATGCATCATTTCAGGTCATAAGGCTACAACTGTGCTCCACTGCACCTGGCAGCACTCTTCCTACTGGACCTGGCCTCTCTTGCCACCTTGCCTTTTTCCCCCTGCCCCAAAGAACCCATCTGATTCTGACTCTTCCCTCCCCATAAACTCTGTAGCCTTGTTTTTAAAAGAACAAACCTGTGGATTGCATCCACATTCAAAATATACTGTTTTGCTTGGCAGTATAGTATTTAAACCCAGCATGCAAAGAAAGAGCCAAGATCTCTCCCAAGTAATTGTTCTAAATGTACTGAAGGCTGAACCCAGAGCATCCACTGTGCAAACCAAAGCAGAAAGTGCAGCAGTGAATTGATTGTCTTATTTATGAAGCATTTTCTGTATCTCTGTTTGCTTTATGTCACCACTAAAGGCAGAAATTAACTGCACCATGAAGGACTCCCATAAAATAGTGTCAACTAATAGAATTTAAACAAGCCAGGAAATTTCAGTTGAACGATGGCATAAGAACCTTAACTCAGTCGGGGGTCCAAACACACACCAAACACAAGGTTTTGCATGTGTCTAACAAGCTGTATGCTTCTAAGCAGCCTATGATAATAATAGGCACAATGGGTTGAATAACTGATGATGGGAAAACTTAAACTCAGTTTTGTTCATACTATACACGCTACAACATTAACGCAGTTGGACACCTTTCAGGGTTTGTCTACATGGGGAGTTAATCTAGAAAAACTATTCTGGAATAACTATTCCCAATTAGCTTCCTGCATGGATGCTCTGATGCTCTTATTCCAGACTAAAGTGAGTTGTTCCTGTTTAGCTTAAGGTTGCTGACACAAACATTTGGCTTGCCGCATGCTAGGGTGTAAATCTACCCCACATTAACCTGTTGTGCACTAAGTGTCTGTGTGAACCCTACTAAGCACACTAACTGTTTCCTACTGTGCTTTGATATACCCTGCTTTGACATGGGAGTAGATCAAAGCGCATTAAGGAACGGTTAGTGCACATCAGCAGAGGCTGTACAGACTCCTATAGCACAGCAAGCTAGTGCAGTGTAGTTTACACCCCAGCCTGCCGTGAACTAAATGTTTATGTAGACAAGCCAACCTGCTTTGAAAAGTGGATTATCCTAATTCAGAATAAGGCACTCTCATTCTGGAATAAGGAGCATCCATGCAGACAGTTAATCAGGAATAGTTATTCCGCTTTAAATTCACACCCTCCCGTAATCCAAATTACTTTCTCAGAGTAGGCAAACTCTTAAAAACAGCACCCCACATCACTCTCCAGTAACACTGCAAGATCATCCATTTGTAGACACAAGAAGTTTTTGATCACACAAAAGAGCAGGCTTGCAAATATTATGGATACAATTGGAGTGGTAGCTTTGAAAATGTTGCCTTATATAAATATAACTTTATCAACAGTATTTTCAGCTCCTGACAATAAATTGATGGTTGATGGAATTACAAGAGGAATATAGTTGATGGAATTACAAGAGGAATGGGAGTAAGGATCATCTACACTAGGCTCTAAAGTCAAATAGATCTCCGCGGCATTTGTTCTCCCTTCCTCCCCTCCCGCCCATATACCCAATGGGTGGGAGTCTAAATCCCCTAGCCAGATTATATGTCACTACATTACTACAAATGTGTGGTCAAACAGATCTATATTTATCTTACCAGGTACAAAAGTCACAGTCAGCTGTATAACTTAAAGCATTCATGTCTCCTAAATAGACGAGGATCAGTCAAAATTCACAATATCACCATACACCACCAGCCCTGGAAACCAGAAATATGATAGGAGTATTACACAGGGGTGCTATGATAATGGAAGCACTCACAAGGTGGCTTGCTGCAGCTGGAGCTACAAGAAACCTTAAAAGGGAGAGTATGTTGCATTACACAGGGGAAGACAATTTTGTACACAGAATGCAGCATCATGTGCATGATTTGGGACACACATTCTCAGCTTACTTTCTGGGAGAACATGAAAAACGAAGAAAAGCAACAACTAATTTTCCCCTTTGTGGAAGATGGCTGGCCAAGGACTTGGGGGTTATTAGCCAGCTTTAATGTTATCCCACATATAGCAGGCTGAGAGGGAACACTGTATTTTTGTCCTTGGCCAACTGTGCAAAGTCATTTGGCTTTTTAACAGCGGTGAAGCAGAGCCCAGGTGGAGAGTACACCCACAAACTGATCTGATACAAAGCCAGAGTGTCAGCTAGCTCCGGATTTGAATAAAGCAGTGTCAGGATATGCAGATACTTAACATCCCTCCTCCTTAGCTATTGGGAGCAAGGGCTGAGACCGGATAAACGTGTTTTACTTGTGATCCTAAATTAGCTCCCTAAAGAAGGCTGTTTGTTTCCCTAGCATTAGTAATATTGACAGTAAAGAACTTCATGCGCACTCTCTCTTTCTTTCTTTGGCTTTTCTCCAATGTAACACAACTTGGACAGTGCTGGTCAGGATGTCTTCTGAAGGCTTTCTGAACGAAATACAGACCATTGGTGAGAAGTTCCTGCTTAAGCTCCAGAAGCTGCCCAAGGCTGAACCTGTGGAGATAGTGTCATTTTGTATTATCCTCTTCTTTATCGGTAAGTACATGGAACAGTGCTAGGATCCAATGTGCTTGTTGTTGCATGAACCTCTCAGATCTCGTAGGCTGGAAGGCTGTGCTGATGATTTTGATGAAAGCAGGTGTGTTCTGCTGCTGTTCTAAAGAATGTGATTCTCTAGCTTATTTTCTCCCACAAATCCATTCTGATTGAAGTGAATTTTAGCAGTCAGGATAGGACCAGACTGATGGCCCTGAAGAATTCATTCCTGTTTATGTACATAACATATAGCATGGGGAGCAGCAGTGCAAGCTTTCTCCATACCATCGCCCCTGAACATTGATCCGGAGGGAAGTACTCTTGCCATCACTGTGAGTAAATCCCAGAGTCACATCATGTGTAAATGTTTTGAGGAGTAGAAAGAGAGCGGTTGTGAAGAATGGTATTAGTGTATCTTGCCACCAGACAAGACACTCAACTCTGGGATTGCCCCTCATTACTGCTGCTTCCTAGAAACTGGCACACTGTAGTATGGACACATTTCTTTTCCTGGTGTGAACAGAAAGAGTGCCTCCCCCTGGAAGAGGTTAGCTCACGGAGTCACCTGTCATGGAGTAACTGGTGTTGGAGGAGGGGGAATAAACAGCTGTCTGGTCAGATAGAGAGAGTTTTTTTTTTAAAAAACAGTGGAAAAGTAGGAAGAAGAAAGGCAGGCACCCTTGAGTGAAAGGGAGAGGGGGGAGTTTGCTCCCAGTTTGAATGCCATGGGGGAAGGGCGTGTGTCCACCACAAAAGGATCCCTCCCTCAGCTGGAATTTGGAAGCAGGTATATCAACTTCTCATAGACACAACTGGTTTCCCCACTGGGTCTGGTTACCTGGCAGCCTGTCAATGGATTACACTTAAAGGAACAAACACAATGGGTGTTATGTTATCCAGAGAAAGGTAATAATCCCATCGCCATCTTGACCATCATCCCTAACAGGATCTTGGCAGTTCAGTTCTTTGTTTTTAAAGGAACCCTATGTTTGACATTATATATAGTTTGGACAGATAGTTGCTGGGTGGTGTTGGTGGCCTGTGAAATACAGGGGGTCAGATGAGATGATCGGAGAGTCCCTTCTAGCCTTAAATTCTATGAATAGCAAAAATATAAGCGCCTACTAGTTTACCTTAGTTTACCTAGTTTGGAAGGAATAAAAAACCCTAAGTTCTGAATACCTGTTGTCATTAAAGTCACTTTTCTTAAGAGATGGGATGATAATACTGACTTCACAGACAAATCCCAGCTCTGGTAACTGTTTCCTGCATACCTTAAGATTCCCCCTGTAATTTCATTTGAAAGAAATACTGTTCCTCACTTTCCACCCTTTAAAGCCACACAGCACTACACAACTGATGCATTTCACTCCAGAGGAGGCTGTACTGAGAGGGGTGGAGGGATTCCCATTTGGCCTGATACCCCAGGCCTTATGAGTATATAACTTCCAGTAATGGCAGTGGGAATTTTTCATGTGCAATTACTGCATCAGTCTATTTTGAGATCCTTTGGAATTAAATGTGCTGTATAATGTAATTATAAATGTTATTCTATAGCTTTAAGGTTATTCGCTCATGTATTGATAAGCCAATGTTGTTGGGTTTTTTGCCACAAAGTACTATCTCCACCTGCCCAGAAATAAATCCAACATTTACAGCAGAGCCTCCAGGAAACTTTGCCTCTTCAAGGCACCGCAAAGTCAGTGTGTTTTTATTCCTGTAAGATCTTTTCAGAAGCCAATACTCTCCATTTCTCTCTCCAGTTACTGTGCTGTCACTGATGACCATAGCCTGCAGCTGTTGCTGTTATCGCTGCTGCTGCAACAGAGGCCCTGATCAGAGAGGCAGGAAGATCCAGATCCAGCCAACTGCTCATGTGTGAAATGCATCAGGAGAAGAAAGTGAAAGAGGACACAGGCAGCCACTGTGGCTGAATCGCCTGGGAATGACACTCTCTACACTAACTCTCTGAACGGGCTGGTGGGAGTGAATGAGAATATGCTGCAGAGGAGGAAAGTGGATCATAAGATGGATTAGGTGGTTCTGCAATGATCGCTGCCTGGGTCTGTGATGTGGCGACATAGGTAACACTATTCTGACATCCTCGTCTCCTTGCCATAGACAGACACAAAAACAGACTTTTTTTCCCCAACGCGAACATTGCAGCTGGGCAAGAAGCAAATTCCAACAGGCTCCCTCTTTGCGAGCAAAGAGCTGCAAACCATGACAAAGACCACATGCAGACTGCCCCAGGGTTAGGAAGGTCCCCTGCTCTCTTGATAACTGACCTAATCCAGAGAGGTGGTGCTGGGCACCAGCAACTCCTTCTGTCATCACTGGAGATGTCCATTACCAGCACCCCTCAGGATCAAGCCCAAAGTAAGTACGGCTTTTCGTTCCCTGTCCTACTGTCTTTAAAACCATGAGTAGTAGAGTACGTGAAATTTAACAGACATCCACTCAGAGCACAGCATGACATGGACTTTCAGCTGGTGCGTGAGCTCAGAGACTGGAAATACAGTTGGCATCAAATGCTCCCTGCTTTTATTTTCTCAGTGTTACAAAGACAAGAAAACTGCCAAAGAGGAAAACAATTAGACTATGTGCAATATCCATTGTATACTAAAGGATGAAGGCAAGAGGAGAAAACCCTAACACAAATTGTTTTGTTTGCTTGCCCTGCCGGTAATCATTTTTTTTTTAAAAAAAAAACCCTCTTTTTATTTAGATCCTTCTCTTCCGTGAAAAAGTGTTGCTTTTTCTGCATATTGCAGGGTGAGTGTTCAGTACAGTGAATGGGGCACTGAAGCAGATGTACAAATCCCCATTATTATTCATGGGAGTGGCATGCCTAGCTCCTGCACTAAAAAAGGCATGTGTGTAGTTTATATTAATGGCAGCAAATGTTTAAGGTATATTTATACACACATGAATTTCAGAGAGCGAATATACAGTGAGGGCAGTGTTAATTCAGGATATTCAGCTGAGAGATGGCATCATGACAAGTGGTGGAGCAAACTGGAGCCGAGCAAACTGTACCGCTAAAGTTAACAAGTGCAAATAAATACCTTTTCAACACTGCAGCCACTGTGTACATTTGGTTTATAGTCCAGTGACCTTCAAATGGAAGTTACACGTGTAGAAAGGCTGCAGAATTGGGCCCAACATTTGTAATTAAGGGTAGGAAAGGAGTAGAAAAACTACTCCCCTTTCTCAGTAATCCGTTAGTTAAAAGGGGTTTAATTTTTAAAACTGAAAGCAATTATGCCACAATATGAACTGATCACCTTTAAGAGAAATTAAAACAAGCTCACTTGGAGTTAAGAGTGTAAATAAAGCATCTTCTACTCGCATTTTGCATTTTTACTACTATGATTGAAACAGCCAAATGGACTACACATCTACAGTGCCAGAGTTCAGCTAAGGCGGTCTCAGTTACAAAGCTTTGAATATGGTGCTTTTTTAACACTTGCTGACACTTCTGCAGAAAGGGGCAATGAAAAGAGGAAAAAATATTTAAAAGAATCCCTTAGCTAAATTACTAATATCGCCCTAGATTATTAACAACATCCTCTGTGTGTATATTTGTGTACACGTACACACAAAATCAACTAGTTTACTTTTCATCACTTGTGTTGTTTAGCTTTTTGTTGTTCTTCACTCAATTAGATTTGTCCATTTTGCATCCGAGTTCATTCTCATACTTTGGAACAATTCTAGAAGCTGCCAACAATGCAGAGGAATGTTTAGATTAAGAAAAAACACCACCACAGCATTTCACTTGTGCAAAAATAAAGTGCACATTATTAATAGACAATGGAGATGGTTTGGTTTTTAAGAGAATTAAAAATGTGGGACCTAACTTGACAGAGGGCATTAAAAGTTAAAGAATAATAATAATGCTCCACTGCTATAAGCTAGCCACACACACAAAGAATAAAAGTTACATTTAGACTGAAGAAGTGCCCAGCCTTTCCATTTGGCTGCCACAATGTACATGGTAGAAGCAAAAGTTTGCATCTCCTAACAAAGGAATTGGGACAACTAAGCCCTGGTGTAGTATCAGTTTAATATAATAAACTTTCATACATCTGGTGCATCTTCCCACAGAGGATCTCCAAGTGTTTTACAGACGTTGGAGAGACAAGGCGGGTGAGGCAATATTTTTTACTGGACCAAATTTTGTTGGTGAAAGAGAGAAGCTTTCAAGCTTCACAGAGCTCTTCCTTAGGAAAAGGTAACCAGAATGTTACAACCAAATACAAGGTGGAACACGTTGTTAAGCATAAGAGATTAACACAAGTTGCAAGAAACCACTTAAAATGAAGTGACCAATTGCAATCTTTACAGTCATGGGACAAAGAAAGGTTACCGGTGTTTCTGATGAGATCATGGTTTTTAGTGTCTAGCAGAGTTATGAATTTAAGTTCCCAAGGTCATCTACTGAAGGTGTTGTACAGGTTTCCTTGGAGGACCATGGCTGATACGTCAGATATGGAGTGAACATTGTGAAAAGAGTTTGCCCACAGATAATAGGGTATTTTTATCCAATAGAAGATATTACCTCACCCACCTTGTCTGTCTCATATCCTGGGACCAACATGGCTACAACAACATTCCAGACATTAGGGAAGTAACCCTCACACTAGGTACCTCAGTGTGGTTATCCCTGAGGCACAGAGATGTTAATTGACTGTCCAACAGGAAACTTGATACATCTTCACTTATAAGGATAAGCTTGAGGATCTTTTCGTTTCTCATTAGCTAGAAACCTAGGCCTAGGTACATGTGACCAATGAAACAGAACCTACTTCTTCCCTCCCCCAGCCAGGCACTGGCTGCTATGGAAATGAATAGGATCCTAGCAAGAAGCGTTTCACCATCATGGAGCTGCCTAGTGCTAATGCGGTCATGGTGGCTGTCACAAGGAGGACACTGCAGTGAGGAAACTCACCTGGAGTGACAGTGAGTACTGGGGGACTGCTACAAGCAAGCCCATATTTACCAGCCCTTATCTACACGGGCACAGGAACAAGAGTAATGGCCAATAGGCTTAAAATACTGACCAAGAGCAGCAAGAGGAAGGCGCCCGCGTTATCTCCATCACCACATGTTCCCGAATTAGCAACAACTGGGAATAAAAAAAAAAGGGAGGGATAGAAAGAGAGCAACAGGGAATGTAAACACTCGCTAAAGACAGCCTAAAATCAAGATCATCTTTCAGAGCAGGGGAACGGGGTCCTACCAGTAGGTGGCCTGGACACCCCACCCCCATGAGGAGACAGCTACTGTGGGCTCAGTTCTGCAAAGTGCCGAGCGTGCTAGTTGCTCTTTAAAGCACATGAGCAGTCCTGTCAAAGTTAGTGGGATTACTTACATGCTTGAAATTCAGCAGCTGCTTAAGTACATGGCTAGATGGGGTCTAAGTCCCAGGGCACAAAGAATTTCAGGTGACGCCGCAAATCCTAGTTCAACTCACTGAATTACTACAGTTTGATTGGCTAATAAACACTGGACCAACTCCACCTGCACACCACACATACATATTTCTAGTCTCTTGGCTTAAAATAATCAACATAAAGTGGACGGGAGCGACAGGCAGATTTACCAGGAGCAGTATTGGATCTGGGGTAACTCCTTGCTCAGATACGAGGAGGGGATTTTTCTATTTTTTTTTAAAGTCCAGCAAGCACAAGCAGAGAATAATACTTTTCAAATGCAGATGCTTTTGTAAAAGTGCAACAGATGGAGTTAGCATGGAAGCAAGAAGTACAAGATACAAGCGACAATTGCTTTAGTCTTCTACGATGCAGCTGTCAGTTTTCTAGTTATGCAATTTTCATTTTGGTAAAGTGGGGTGTGCTCACGTATATCTTACATAAAAGCTTCTACTCACCAGAATTAACCCTCCCACTTTCGAGTGCAAAACTGACCTCAGATAATGCTACTTTTGATCAGCCTGTAGGATCTGACAGTGAGCAACAAGTTCACCTTTCCCACACACACACCTACCTCTTGAGCCCTCTACTTTAAGAAAGCCTCAAAGAGTCTACTTGACTATAGCTATCCCACAGTACAATTGCTCTGTAAGGGACTGCTCTGCCTATACTGTTACAAATTTATGAAGTTACTGTTATGGAAGCATGGCCTTGTTTAACACACTTCTAAAAAGAGGGGAGTACGGCCTGGTGTACACTTAAAAATTAGATTGACTAGGGTTTTGAAGGGGGCAAAAAACACATTGTGTTGTTGTAGGAAGCACCCCCACACTATGGCGCTACAGTGGCACAGCTGCCATGCTCTAGCTGTGCCACTGTAGAGGCTGCATTGTAGGCATGCCCTTTGTTTCTAAACTGAGCTTGGGATACGGACTTCTGTACGCAAATCCGAGATTAGAGCCCAATTCCCTCCACCAAGAGTAAGGTTGCGAGCTACCCCCTGACCCAGCAGCTAGAGGAACTAGCAGGTCCTCTCAAGTATCAGTAAGGTTTTTTGTTGGAATGGATGCCTGCAGCAAGAGGCAGGCACGGAAAGAAGGAAAGAAAAGATGTTTGATTCAATCACAGCATCCTGTGGAGACCATAATGCAAAAAGATCAGTGGGATGAATAATAGACAGGAAGGATTGCATTGTTTCCTATGATAGTCCCACATCATATAAGTAAGACTTGCAGGACACTGAAATGTTCAAAAATATCCTTTGGAGTCAGCACAGCATCGAGTCAGGACATTGCATCATGATGGGATGACATATATGGCCAAATTCAGACCTCGTGCATGCATATGTAACTCAACTTCACACCAGGTCTGAACCTGATCCAATCAATTTGGCCCACGGTCAAGACAAACTTTTAAAGGCAGCAACTCTAGGTCTCTACCAAAGTGATGAATGTTTTACTCCTTTGGGGAACAGGTTCATATTGCCAACATACCCCTCCCACCCAAGCTCTCATGCTGGCTGGTGTTTGATGAAATAGATCAAGGAGTAACAGCAGTGAACAGGGGCCACAGCCTTTATTTAATCACAAGTCACACTGCTATCAAGGGCTGGACACATGATACCTACCATTTCCCTCCACTACCTTTCCAGCAGGATTACTCCAATTGAAACACGCACGCACGCACACACACACACACAAATAAGGCTAGGAAGTGGTTGAGTCATGGGCAAACCAAGTCTCTGAACAGTACAATCAAACAAGCCACAGATAAGTCTCACCACCCTTCCAGAAAGTCTGCAGGGGACACACAAAACACTGCCACTGCTGTTAATAATTTACTAAAGTACAAACAGGCAGTTCCCACAGAGCCTCCCCGTTCCCATGCACACTGAAGAGGGACCTCTCAGCAGGCCAGGATCTTCTCCAGGACGTGCAGAGAAGGCACCAACAGCAGAAGGCACATACGCGACATCCATAGCAGCTTCAGGTACTAGTGGAACCATCCACAACAACTTCATTTCAGAGGAAAGATGGCAGGTTTGGGGTATCCAGTCAGATTGTATTTCTTCCCTTAGGCTTGGAGGAGACCTATTTTGAGGTTATCGATGCTGTCACTATTTTAGAGGGAGAGGGGACTGTCCCAGAGGGTCTGCATGCAGCCTTCTCAGGGGTGAACTATCCAGACAGGCCCTTTGTCACTACATATCTAACTGCAGAGTTATAAAGGGCCCTGTTAAAATTATTTGCTGTGATTCCAAAACCAAAACTTTATCGAAATACTTTGGCTGCTGGGGCAGAAGTAACAAACAGCAACTGGAGTGTGTTTCTGAGATTCTAGCGGGCACAGCTTTGTGAGGGTGAAATTAACTTCACAATGTCTAATCCCTTTCCTTTCATGCAGTATTAAGGGCAGAAATGCAAGGGGAGAGGGCTAATACAGGTATAAGTAGACTGAAATAATTTAGTGAGATGTTGTCTCCCACTCCTCCACTCTTTGCATTAGGTCAGCATAGCAGTCACTCTGACGGAAGGAGGAATAATCCATTCATCCTTTCATTTCTCACTGAGGAGTATAAAGCAGGAAAGCATAAAAGCTTCTTGCAAAGAGATGTCAGATGTTATTGAAAGGGTGTAACAGTATGGCTGTGAGCAAGGCAACGGGCAAGATGGCACTGAATGAGCAAGTGTGTAGAGCCTAGTGAGACTCCAGATTAAATGATGTCAATAAAAAGAAAACCTATTTTAGTTGCAGTTTAACATCATTAGTGAGAAAGTGTGTGCATGCGCACATGCATGTGTTATTGTTAAAGAAAGGTTAAGGTTTGGGTCGAAAACAGGGGGAAAAGCTAAGGGATTCAATGCTAAAACTAACACTGTGCATAACTACCTCTACAGAAAGAGAAATGTTTGCATGGTGTAGCTTGGCTGTTCTAATTCCTTATCTTTTTGTATTAAACGACAAGAGGGTTTAATCTCCCATTTGATAATGTGCCTGCAGAACAGATTGCTTTTGCTATCGGGGTACAAGAGCATACTTCCATGTCTGGTGTACTCCCATGACTTAAGAGCCTAACTTCCTATTTTAAAAGGGCCACATTCTCAACTGGTGTAAACCTGAGTATCTCAACTGACTTCAGTGGCGCTATCCTGAATTACCCCTGCTGAGGATCTGGTTCAAAGTGTCTTCTGCTCTGATAGACTTGCTGTGGTCATTGATTTTTATTATATTATTCCTTTTACATCCAGACTGTACAATCCTTACACTGAAGATTCTGACAAAGCTATGATTGTAGCTGCACTAGCAGACGCTGCTAAAATATTGGTAAAATAAAAACACTACTGGAAAAATTAATCCCTGAACAGAATTTTAATGGCAGAATTGTCTCTCTTCTCTGGCACAGACTACTAGACAGTTCTTTGGTGTTCTATGTTCTGTTTATGTTCATGGGATTGGTTTCTCTAAAAAGTGACTACACCTTTTGAAAGAACAATGCAAGGAAGTGTTTAAAGAGTATGTGTATGCATATATCTATTGAGGAAGTAGAGCAGGCAGACAAGCATCACACACTCATCTGGTTTCCCCACTCTAATTCCAGCACGGGCGGGCCAGCATGTCGCCCTCAACACAAGCAGCTTCCCCAGTTCTGGAAAATTTGAAGAGTTGCATTCTGACAGATGATTGGGCTCTTGTCGGACTAGTGGTGATCGGGTCATTCTGCACCGTCTTTATTGCCCTCCTCTTGTTTGCTGCCATCTTTGGCTGCTGCTCAGCTCCAAAGCATAAATCAAGTTGCATATAAACAGCAAGGACAAGAGCGGGGCATTTCAAGAATACCACAACCAGGCAAGAGTTATCCCACCCACCTACTGTTTCATCAGGTCAAAGGGAAGCTTCATCTTTTATCCTTCTTGTGTGGTTAATTCTTCACACACAGACTTGAGGCACTCACAATCTGTCAGCCCGTACATAAGACTGCGTCTGCAAGGGAGGCCTTCATGCTGTTGTGTACTCAATTACAAATCTTGACACACAATGCAATCTGAATTCAGGACCACATGACCAGCCAAACCTTACAGTCAGAATATTTGCTTGCCTGAACTTTTCCCTGACAAGGAAAATTACTGGGTTAAATCTTTGTAAATGACCACCTGCCATTCTGAAGGTGGAAGAGACCCTTGAGTACTGGATAACAGAAAAACGTGATGTTCCTTTGAACAGTTTCTTAATAAGGGTTGCCAGCTAGTAGGAAGTGACAACATGCAGCAGACAAACCCAAGGAGGGGCCCTGCAGTGACACCTGCGGTAAAGATCACAGTAAGATTCTACCCTGGGATGAGATGGCGCATATGACATTTCAGGGGGTAGTGGGGATGGGTGAAGTTAGGGAAGGGAAGATTTTGAGAGGGTTGGGGAAAAAAAAGTGAGATTTATAACTGGAAGCTACTTTCAGCCTTAAATATAGGAGTGGTCAGCATCCCCCTTCCCCATTAAAGAAAGGGTGATTTTACTTTTAAATGCCCCCATGGAACAGAAGAAACACTATTTCTTTCTCCAATAGTCTCAGCTAAAGAAAATCTATTTTCTCCAGGTAAAGTATTATTACATGGGTCTTTCACATACAAAGTTTGCTAGCACATACCCATTGCTTTACTGCTGCGGTGGAACAGCACCAGAGAGAGTCATCAGTGGAAATAACAGCTAGGCTCCTCTCACTATAGGGTGGGAGATGTAAGTCAAGATGAAGGAGCAATTACATGAACTTTAACTAACCCAAGTTCTGATATTAACACTTACCCTGGAAAGTCCTGCCATAACTACTGATGGCTTGTGCAAAATTAGTTTGGCAGTCTCAGTTCAGTTCCCAGTGCACAAGTGTCCATTGCAAACCAGCTGCAACCGAAACCCTTGCTCGTAATCTCAACAGAGAGATCACGGAGTAATCAGAGACGGAAGCTAAGCTATCTTCAACCCACAGCTATTAAAAAGGACTTCTCATTTCAACTGGCAACAGAAGCAACACAGAGGCAGCCAGCTGGCTACTCTAGGTACGACCTAAAGGCATGCAACAGCAGCTGAAGAAGATTGACTTAGCTGCATAAACTGACCAAAATATTAGAACATGGTGCCTCACAGCAGACACCTAGTGGAGTCACCTTCACTGCAACCAATGAAGCATTGTTTCGAGGGCATACCAATTATTCTGACATTTGGGCCAGACCTCAGGGCAACTGGTAAAAATCCTTCAGAATAACTTAACAGGTCTTGTTCTCTGTCAAAACACGACTGAAGGCAACACCCTCGCCAGGGCTCCCACAATGAGAAAATAAATATTCCCATTTCCACACTGAATCCTGACAAAAACACCCTGGATGCAGAGCTGCACAATGAAAATGGATCCAAGGCTATATGTGGGAGGGAGGATATCATTTCCCAGTTTGTAAACATATACTGCTCTCTTATTGGCAAAATTAAGGTCTTGTTGTCTCAAACTAGTGGCACATAGCAATTTGTTACAATTACAGCCTTCTTGGATTTATAGTACACTATTTGTAATGTGTGTAGTGGTTACAAGTCTGTATTTAGGTTCCCCACTTTGGACATGTGTATGCTATGGGCTTGATCCTGAAAGGTGCTGAGCACCCTAAGCTCCTGTTGAGGACAACAGGAATTAGGGACACTTAGCATCTTGCAGCATGGAGCCCTTCTGAGTCAGAGGCAAACATTAAAACTAACTGCTTCTACACCAAGATGCTGGGCTTTAGATCATGCATTTCTTTACAGGAGAGATTTAGCTAAGAAAAAGTCAAAAATAGACAACTGGAGGGTCCAATGTGAGTCAGAAAATAGGAAAAGTTGCACAATGAAAAGCTGCACAACGAAACACTGCCCATCCCCTTTGATTTCTTTAGCAGAAAAATGCTGATGCTGCATGACAATTCCATGTGGTGTCATGGGAGGATGTCATGGTCATACAGTAGCCCCTTCCCATAACCAGATAATCAGTATACAATGCTAGATGCCAGTTTCACACTCTGAGGCCTTGGTTGCAATGAGCAGCACATTGACAGGAGATGGAGAAAGATGAGATGCTCAGAACAGAGGAGAGATTATACTGCATATGGTTACATAAGCCATTGAACCAGCCAGTCTCAAAGGCAGTGTGACTCAGATGCAGGGTAGGTGGCCTAAATCATCAGTAGAAATAGCCAACGCCTTGTGCAATCTAACACAAGGGCCCCTGATTTCTGCAATGCAGAATTCTGCAGCAAACTAGGAATTCTGGGTTAACTTCAAGTACACTTAAAAGTAGAGTGTTTTAAATGTGAAAATACTACTTTTGGCTATTTATTTTAATATTAAAGTCAATTTATTTTATGCGTCTCTCTAATTTTCAACATGCTGCAAATTTCTGAATTGGCAGCAAACAACCTTGTAGAAGTTGTCATAGGGGACGTTGGAGGTTTTAACAGGAGACAGTTAGTTGTGTATTTTGGTGCCTGGGAAAGCAGGTGGGCAGATGATGGGGTTTGTGAACGTAACATAAGAAGGGCCATTGATTTGACCTAGTGTGGCCAATCTAGCCCAGTACCCTGTGTTCCAGGAGTAACCACCAATTAAAAGGAAAGCAGGCAGTTCACACCTCATAGAACTACTATTTCTGACAGTAGTCCCAAGTCTATAGACAGCACGGCAACTATTACATTCGGTTCACGTTTTCCACCACAACTTTTTCCAAAGCATCACAGTTACGAATACACTGGCAATAACGGTGCCAAAGAGGGGAAAAGTAGATTAATTCATCCACCCCTCCCCCTATCAATGCATACAAGAGAGACACTTACCCCAGCTCTTCACAGAAGTTCACTATAGCATCAAAGGCCGTCAGCACAGCTTTATCGGATTCTTTCAAGGTGCCTCTTTTCTCCTGGGAATAATAAAAGACAATACTTAAAGTCGCCTTTGACGTAGCTCTGGACAGATGCAGCACCTCTGCTGACAGCCAAATCTGACCATCTTTCCAGAACATCGCTGCAACCAGATCTATGCTCCACTTCTCCATCCCATGGTAGTACCGCAGCCAAGAGTGATACCACCTCCTCCGCCATGCCTCCAGACCTTCTGACAACACTGCAGCCAGGTCCAGCCACCTCTTCCCCAGCACTTCTGTCTCTTCCACTCTAAGCTGTGACACTGCTGCAGCCAGATCCAAGCCCAATGCCTCTATCCCCAGTCCTAGTAGCAGTAATGTGGCCAGCCTCTGGTGAAACTCTATTCTGCCTTGGGACAGTCTGAGGTAACCGCAAACAAGGGGCTGACTAGATCAGTGGTTCTCAACCAGGGGTATGCGTACCCCTGGGGGTATGCAGAGGTCTTCCAGGAAGTACATCAACTCCTCTAGATATTTGCCTAGTTTTACAACAGGCTATACAAAAAGCACTATCGAAGTCATACAAACTAAAATTTCATGCAGATGACTTGTTTATACTGGTCTATATACCGGGGGAGACTTGGACAGAGAAGGAGTTCTTCAGTGCAAGCCCTGAACCAGGCTAGGGCCTTGGCTTCAAGCACTACTACCAAGCATTTGCCTGTTTAAAGGCACAGACAGCCAAATTCTGAGTTTAACTGTGTAAAGATGGATGCTGAGTTTGCAGCATAGACTGCCCTGATCCAAACAGGCTGCCACAATTTGTGAACCGAGGCAGGGAGCACCTATAGTGCCATGCATCGCGCAGAAAGTGGTGCTAGCCATGCCTGTGACATAGGCAAAGAGCAAACCTAGTGTTAGTAGTGCTGTAGGAAGCTCTTCTGCAGATCCTACCTGGAGTTTAGAGAGCTCCTTCTTGATCAGGAAGGAGACTTGATCCCGGTCATTCCTAGAGTAATAGAGACGGCAACAGGACAGCTTCCCATCTCTCCCAGCCCTTCCAGACTCCTGGTAATATCCAGCCATTGACTTTGCAATATTCCAATGGGCAACAAATCTGCATGGGATAAGAGAATGGTAAGCATCAAGTTGAAGTCTTCTCTTCTCCCATCATTGTAAACACAGAGATGTTCTCTTCTGAGGCCAACAATAAAGTAGAAACAGAGCAGTAAGAGCAAGGACCTAGGAGGGAATGGAGCAAGGGATTCTTAACTGAGCATTCTTAAAACAGCAAGAGGCACCAAGGGAAGCTACAACAAAAGCCTAGTGTGTGCATGAACAAGAAGTCAGCGGGACACACCCAATGCGAATGAAGGAGAATAGGGATGGTGTATATACTATAAAAGCATAAAGATATATAGCTGTGAAGGGGGAGAAAACAGTATTGATCTCCAGGAGTTTGGGTTCTTTTACTATAAAGTTGTGCATGTTACTATTATGCATTATTTACTTTTAGGATTTGCAATATGTTTTATGATAGTATCATTCATAGATTCTAAGGCCAGAAGGGACCACTGTGATCTAGTTTGACCTCCTGTATACACAGGCCATAAAACTTTCCCCAATTAAACTTCAGTTAGAAGCTTCTTTGCCTACAAGCTAGGCATATGGAGTTCTGGCTCACAAACTTCAACTGTACCGTCCCAATCATAATATGCCACCATGAATCAAAGTATGAAGTGAGAGACTGCAGGAATCTAGTCGCTGGTTTTACTCCTTTAAACAAAAACACTCTGTCATTACAAGGATCAGCCAGGAGGCAGCAGAGCATAAAATTTCTTCCTTGCCTGTGTGTTTATGAGCGCCTCAAATACGCCATCTCCAGCAACAGTAAATAGCAGCAAACAGGGAGGGGCTGACAACAGCAGAGGAACCCTCCCTTCATTCATTTCCCTCAGGGGCCTCCTCCAGCACTTCCCAGGCATGATCTTATACCTGATGATGTGTGTACAATTCCCGTCCCAAGGACTTTGTTACTGCAGGGTTGAGGTTGATCGGCAGTACCACATACCCTTCTGGAATATCAAATGTGTCTATTCTTAAACCACTGAAAGCCAGGAAATAGTCAGTTCTGCCCAACAAACTTAACTCTGCACCAGGAGCTGGCAAGAGCCACTGGGGTTCTACTGTAAGTATGTTTAGCCCTTACAAGCAACACAGAATGACTAAATGTGCTGTTCTATGTGTTTTCTCATTCATCTGTATGCTCTCCCACTGCCCTCCATTGTGTTAGGGACTGGCATATTGACTGGTACAGGGATTCCTTGCTGCAGGTTGCTACAGCTCATAATACTGTACAAGGAGACTCCTCATTTCTGTGCTGAATGATGTGGGTTGTACAAGTACAGGAGCACAACAGTCCATTCTGCCTTTGTAGCAATCTAGTAGCATCCATGACTGTGCGTAGGAAGATGGTACATGTGTGAGCTAACCCATTCATCTCAATGGGGTCCTTCCCCATCTCCCAGTGTCTACCCCAGCCTCTGTTGTGAAATAATAATTTTTCAAGAAAATCTCTCTAAACATAGAATCATAGAAATGTAGGTCTGGAAGGGACTTCAAGAAGTTATCTAGTCCAGCCCGCTGGGTTTTAGAGCAATTTGTAAAATCAGCTCTTCATGGGGCAGACAAGACCTGTATCTGAGGAACTCCTTGACCAAGTTACCCCAATTTGCACTACTAACTCTACCCTGGGTCCTGATGTGGTACAGCAATATTGTGTGTGTGTGTGTGTGTGCGGGGGGGGGGGGGAGAGAGGGAAGTGTGGGTCAATAGTGCCCCACAGTTACACCATGATTTCCATTTTAACAGGGGTGGCAAGGGTACACAAAGTCTGTCTTTTAAGGGATGTTTTTTAAATGTTTATCATTGTTTGTTAAACTGCTGTAGAAAAACCAAGCTGTTATGAGGGGAATCCCATATGAGGTTTGCTATGACTGTTTTTAAAAGTATCAAATGACTAAAAATTTTCTAGTATCTGACATTTTCTTCAGACCTCTTTTACAGAAACTACAGCCCTCTGAGAGGTGATATGGATAGCTGTTACTTTTTGGTGTCTCTAGACTGGATAAATTATTGTAGAAAGATGAAATTTATTTACTGTGTTTATTTTTCATGACAAACACACATTACTGGTTTGATACTGTCATCTATCTGTGTCAACATCAAACCAGTTCTTAGACTAGAACTCTATTGTGGATGCTTACACTGATGTCCAGCAGCCTCTTTGATCATGCTGCCATTGTGTAAAGCCATCACTACCTGTTTTTCTTTGATCACACTCAGTCTTCAACTGTTCAGGACTTGAGTGAGCAGCATGATCAGGTTGCTGTATTGTTGTTGCCGACTAGAGACTTTTACCTTCCATTTATTTAATTAATGCTATTATGCATGAGGATTTTAGAGCACTCAGAAAAATCAGCTGTTAAACAGCAAGTCTCATCCTTACAATCGGGATGCTATTCCCCACAATAATGCCCAGACATAACTGCAAGAGAAGGCATTCTTCTTAATTTTCTGGTGACCTGCAAACAGGCATCTTTTGCATGTACCCCCCTATTTAAAAAAAACAACCCAAATGTTATGCTGGATAAAAAAGGTTCTGAAAAGATTTTTTTCTTTTTGTTTGTCCTTACCACATTTGTCTATTTGATGCCAGTCTCCAACCCTCCAAGGAAACCTCCGGCAAAACAAGGAACTCAAAACCTAATCTTGCAAAAGCACCCGTCAAGCCCCTTTATACCTCAAAAGCAGCAAAGGAGAGCACTTTCTTTGTCTGTAGCAGGTCCCCTCAATCAGACCACCAATGATCTGTTTTTAACACTGATATTCCATAACAAGTGAAAGCCCAACCTTTCCGTTCTCTGCAGCTTCTAAACAGAAACACCTCTCACACATTTATGAAGTTTGAATATGAATTCCTCCCTTCCCCATGCCCCCTTGTGGAGATCTGGTTTCTTCAAAGGGAGGGCTAGAAAAGCGTATCAAGTTATCTTGAGATTGCAGTTAGTATACGGGGGAGGGACCTAAGGAGGACGTTTCCCCCACTATGCCCAAGCTCCTACATACCTGACATTAGCTTTGTCGACTCCCATTCCAAAACTGATGGTAGCAACAATAACAGGGACCTTCTCCTCCATCCACTCATTCTGAATTGAAGTTCTGTCTGCTGCCTTCAGCCCTGGGGAAGGAAAAGGAGAGAAAGCAGGGAAATCAAAGAGAAAGAGTAGACACCCCACAGTTCCCAGCAATCTCGACCCACTCTCCTATGTATAAAAATGTGCTGGTCAAAGCCGAGTATATTACCCCCCACTTCAGACTTGCTCGTCATCAAACAAAAGGACTTAATACTCTCCCAACCCTAAGAGGAAAATTCAGTTCCCCCTCAGGCAAAAGCCTGACTTGATAGGCCTGGCAGTATGTCCTGGAGAGCAGTACATTCTGAGTCTGCTGGACTGGCAGAGGGCACTGAGTTTCAGAGCCAAAGGAGCACCTTTCCACCCCACCCTGCTCAGATCAAGGGCCTATCAACTCAAGCACCTGACCAAATCTCAGCAGCCACAGGATCACATGTAGAGAGTTGCTCCCTAAGGTAGCCCTGACCCAGATTATTAGATAATGTGAAATTCTGCAGCCCTGACTGAGGGGCTGTACAATGTAGACACAATGTCCAGTACCTGCATGATAGGCCTTGGCTTTCACTCCTCTGTAGCTCAGCTCAATAGCCAATTGGTCACAGACCTCTCTCATCCTGCAGTACACAATGCCACAGCCAGAGTATACCTACACAGAGCCAGAGAAGAGAAAATCCAGCAAGCCATCCAGGGGAAGATGGAAAAAGCTAACAGCCATTACTGCTGAGGGGACAGGGCTACAAAAGCTTAAGACTCTTCTCCTCCCTGTGTTGGCTCCCAGCAGCTGCAAACTATCCTTCGAGTTGTAAGTATTCAAGTTGCAGTGGGGGAGGTTTAGATTGGATATTAGGAAAAACTTTTTCACTAAGAGGGTGGTGAAACACTGGAATGCGTTACCTAGGGAGGTGGTAGAATCTCCTTCCTTAGAGGTTTTTAAGGTCAGGCTTGACAAAGCCCTGGCTGGGATGATTTAACTGGGAATTGGTCCTGCTTCGAGCAGGGGGTTGGACTAGATGACCTTCTGGGGTCCCTTCCAACCCTGATATTCTATGATTCTATTCCCAATGGGGTTGATAAAAGAGCATGGAAGTAAACCAAGCAGGAAGCATGTCTATCTTAGGTACCGCTATGGTCCATCATTGTAGTATCTGAGCTCCTCACAATCTGTAATGGAGGCAGGGCAGTGCTATTATCCCCATTTTACACATGGAGAACTGAGGCACAGGGAGGCTAAGTGACTTGCCCAGGGTCACACAGGGAGAATTGAACCCAGTTCTTCTAAATCCTAGGCTAGTGCCCTAACCACTGCACAAACCTCTCTCTTTCACTTTTTGCTACAGACACACAACAAAACCAAACCAATGTGTGTGCATTTGTCAAGTGGGAGAAAACAAAATCAGCTGAGAAAGAAATGCTATTTTTACACTTCTAATATATTTTAATTTAAAATGGCCCATGTCTAAAGGCACCTTTGTTTGAATTAGATATAAATACAGCTCACCAAAATAAAAACCCAACAAGACCCAAAGATGATTAGAACTGGCACAGGAACCCACACCAACCCCCCATCCCCCCACCCTTAACCATAAGGGAAATAAAGCATCTGCTGAAACAACATGGACATGTGAAGGCTCACCAGGAAGGATGCCTGCCAATGATCTCTGGCACAGTGGGCCTGATCCTGTAAACAGATGAGCACTGGCAACTCTCATTGATTTCAGTAGGGAATGGAGAGTACTTTGCAGGACTGGACCCAATAAGCGTTGAGACCGTTCCTGAGTGCTACGCCCTCCAATGCGTTACCAGAGAGCCCACAGAGAAGTTCTCCATCAGATATGTACTGAAATGCTGTCCTGCCGTAATTCCCTGAACAGTCAGGATTATAGAGAGGGACAGGAGCACATCTGCAATGGCCAGTGTTCCCTACCACATGGAGAGAGGATGCAGAACCAGCGAGGCTACTGCCGTAGCAGCTGTGGGGCAACTCTGTTTCATAGCCTGGAAGTAGAAGGGTGGGGAGATTCTTCTCCTAGCTCCCTGCAGAACCCCCTCACATCAATCCCCATCCACTTAGGCTTGGTAAAGGATTGGGGGAAGAGGGCAGCAACACAGGGTGTAGGTATCACTCTATAAAGGCAGAGGAGTTCACCACCCTGTCATCAAGGAGAGGTCAATATCTGGAAGGATGCCAAGTATTTCAAAGATTTAGAAGAAGTTTTTCAAAAAGTACCTCAGTGTTTCTTTCAGGGACCTCTCCCTTCCCCATCCTAGACCTATTAGTGTCATCCTGATACCACATTATTTAGGACAGTTCTGTTCTGTTCACCATTCTGTCCCTGAAAGTAGCTTCTGAGACTTAAACCTACCCCTCGGGCATTCTTCTCTTCAAGGGCCTTCAGACAGAAATCCTTCAGATTTGTATAGGGATCAGTCAAGAGCTCCTTAAACTGCACATCATAGAACAGGTTAGATCTGAAGCAAGGCGTCTTAAAGGTGGCAACAGGTTGCTTTAGCTTAAGTGACACCACTATGTCATCCTGGACCTGTTTGGTGGCTGTGGCAGTCAGGGCGATGCATGGCGTGTTGGGTATGCGAGAGCGTAAGGAGCCCAGTCGCAGGTAGTCGGGTCGGAAGTCATGTCCCCACTGGGAGACGCAGTGAGCCTCATCTATTATTAGGTAGGACAAGAGGTTTCGAGACACCAGGGAGTTCAGGGTGGGCTGGAAGGAGGAGGCGGCTGCCATCTCTGGGGTGATATACAGGAGCTTCACCCGGGGCTTCTCGCTTGCTAAGTCGGCCAGAATGATCTTCCTTTCCTGAGCAGAAAGCTTGGAGTTCAAAGAGTAGACTTTGACCTTCAGTGCCAACAAATGATCCACTTGGTCCTGTGATTAAAAAAAGAAGAAAGTGGCATTGAAAAAAGTCTTTACCAAGACAACTACTACAGAGATACACACAGTAACCAAGCTTTACCTCTAGTCCTGTAGTTTCCAGACCCTATCCACCCACATCTCACCTACCGCGTAGCCTCAGCTCCAATGGTCTTTAATTGCAGGAGTCTTTTTAAACAGGCTTAACTGCAGCAGCTAACAAAACTGCTCAGCTTTATCGTCCACCCATCTCTTTGGGTGACCATCAGCATTTATAAGAGACAAAGGTTCTCTTATCAGCAACGAGACTGTCAGCAGGGACCCAGTCATTTTCAGAGGCTGGAGATGACAATGAGATCATCTCAGGATGATCAGCATCAGATCACTGCGCTGAAGGAAAATGCATAACAACTCCTCATATTTTTGTAGCGCATTTCATCCCTCAGGATCCCAAAACACTTTACTAATTTAACTGAGTATGTGCCAGGATCACGTCAATCATCACTAAAATGGAGCCATCTCTAAGGTAACATTCATCAATTTTAAAAGCCAGAAGGAACTATTAGATCATCCATTCTGACCTTCTGCATAACACCAGCCATAGAATTTCATCCAATCACCTCTGCACAGAGCCCAAGAACTTGTGTTTTAGCAAAAGCATCTCTTCCAGAAAGGTGTCCAGTCTTAATTTGATTACCTCAAAAGAGGAAGAATACAGCACTTTCCTTGGTAGTTTGTTCCAATGGTTAAACACCATTCCTGTTGAATATTTGTGCCTTATTTCTAATTTGAATTTCTTTGGCTTTAACTTCCAACCATTGGTTCCAGTTTCACCTTTCTCAACTAAATGAAAGAGCTTGTTAGTACCTGCTATTTTCTCCCTATGAAGATACTTATATACTGTAATCAAGTCATTGCTCAATCTAGTTTTTGATAAACTAAACAGATTAAGCTATTTAAATCGCTCACTGCATGGGATTTTCTGCAGCCCTTAAATCACTCTTGGAGCTTTCTTTCACTCTCTCTTTTCAACATCCTTTTAAAAAGAGTATGCAGTATTCCAGAATCAGTCTCACTAATGCCCTGTTCAAAGGTAAGATCACCTCTCTACTCCCGTTTATACATCCAAGGATCGCATCAACCCTTTTGGCCACAGAATCACACTGGGAGCTCATGTTGAGTTACTTGTCCACTGTGACTCCTACATCCTTTGCAGAATCACTGCTTTCCAAGATACAGTCTTCCACTGTGTAGTTATGGCCTGCCTTCCTTGTTCCTAAATGTTTAAACTTGCATTTGGCTGTATTAAGACACATTTTCTTGGAATGGGCCCAGTTTACCAAGTGATCCAAGTCATCATCATTTACCATTCTGCCAATCTTTGTGTCATCCAAAAATTTTATCAGCAGCAATTTTATATGTATTTCCAAATAACTTATTGAAAAAATATTGAAAGTGTCAATCTTAGTCCTAATCCCTGTGGAACGTCACTAGAAACAGCCCCATTTGATGGGAATTCCTCATTGACAATTATTTTTTGAAATCCGTCAGTTAGCCAGCTCCTGATCCCTTTTAAAAAATAGCACAAGATAACGCCAAAGTACATGCTAACCAGAATGTTGTGTGGTATTAAGTCAAATGCATTACAAAAGTCTAAGTAAAACAGAAAATATACTCAGGGAAAGCCACTGTTCACAACTGGGTGACTAAGCACCAGAAAAGGCTAAATGTCCATATGTAATTGCCCTGAAGCCTTAAGTGTTTAAGGAGTAGTGCTGCCTGAAACTTCCTCTTTCCTGATGGAATGGGGAAGAATGCCAGAAAGCTAGCTTGATACTTAGAAAAATATCTTATGAGAAAAAAAATGATATTTCCCAGGGCTTTTACTACAGAAATAAATAAAATTATAGTTTTCTTCTTAGGAATGGTCCAATTTAATCCATTTTAGACATTCTACTGTGCTGCCTCCAGGTAGTACATCTCTGAATGAGGTAACAGGCAACGGGGCAAAAGGAGAGAGAACTGATCATTTAGATCACCTATTAAAGGTTTTAAAAAAAAATCCTCCTGCAGTTAGTTTAGTTCAAGTCCCCTTATTCCCTCCTTTAGGATGTTAGATTGTGATAAAGACCTGCCATGGTTCTGCAAGCCAGGATACTTTAAACTACGGTTAATTGGAAAAACTCTACTGTCAAAGCAGTTAGCAGCAGTATTCTTACCTACTGTACTCACAGGATCAGAAAACCAAACCCACATCAATAAGATGAGAACAGAGAGACAAACTGGGATCAGAGGTTGGCAGTGGGGGAAGGGATTGGACCCAACTGTGTTTCCACACAGTCTCCCCACCCTCCCTTCACTGATTGCTTTTCCACAGCTAACAGGAGATGGTTACCTGAATCAGTGCAATCAGAGGTGAAATGACAATGGTGATGCCCACTGCCAGAACTGCAGGAAGCTGGTAGCACAGGGATTTCCCTGCCCCTGTGGGCATGCATACAAAGACATCGTTCTTGCCTGCAAAGACAACAAAACAAAGCTCAAGGCTACTAAACTATGGCAATTCACCTAGATTCTGCCCTGGAGAACTGGGCACAAAGTCTTCTAGATCAGGGGGAGGGATAGCTCAGTGGTTTGAGCATTAGCCTGCTAAACCCAGGATTGGGAGCTCAATCCTTGAGGGGGCCATTTAGGGATCTGGGGCAAAAATTGGGGATTGGTCCTGCTTTGAGCAGGGGGTTGGACTAGGTGACCTCCTGAGGTCCCTTCCAACCCTGATATCTTATGACATTCTATGACAAGACACATTGCATTGGAAGTGTGTCTCTGCAAGTACAATGCCGCACGCCAACATGAGAGAGGTTTCTTTTAATTTTTAAAAGAATAATAATAAATAATAAAATAATAAATAATCATAGCAATATTTTGCACTTCTCTACTGGCTTCCTTCCAAGCAACTCTAACCACTTTATAAACATTAATTAAGCCTCATAACACACTTGGGTGACAGGAATTATTCTACCCAGAGGTGTAAATCAAAGTACAGAGAAGTTAAGTGACATACCAAACTTATATCAGCTCACTTCCAGAGAAGCTTGCTTTTAATTCATCTGGCAGAGTCTACATCCAGCTACCAAATCACCTGACCTTTATCGCAGCCTGTTAAACTTTACCACAAATTCTCCCAGTACTGGACTGGAACTGAGAATCTCTCAGTTATAGATAGAATATTTTTTCTCAAATAAACTCTCTCTGTATTAAACAGCATCCACTGACAAAGAAGGATGCCAACCAATACCATGCTATTTAATAGGCAGAACCATACTGGTGATCTAATGCCACCCTGGCTGCTGGCAACAGCTGCGTGCAAGTGCTGGTTTCTAGCAGAAACAAGAGAAGGATCCTGGGATTTTGACACTACGTTAAAACAGGTGTGACACTGGTTCTTTGAACACCATCTCACGCAGCAAGACTGAAAATTGAAGAGACAAGGTTAGAGTCCCAAGCAAGACAGTCATTCCTTACCTTTCACCACTGTCATGGTTGCACTCTCTTGCAGAGACGTTTTAAAGGAGTCAAACCCAAAGATCTTTTTCAGAGTTTTCTGAACCTTGCCATCTAGGCCTGAGGGAGTGTAGTCGTTCATCCTCTAGGTACAGTACTGGAAATAGGTCAAGGTAAAGGAGAAGGAAAGGAGCTTACTTAGCTCAACTGTTGTTCACACCAGCAACCAGTCACAAATTTTTCTTGGTCACTGAGAGAGAATTTTTCCCATTAGATTATTGGCTGCCAAAGCATCACGGGTTAAACTGCTCCAGGAATATTTTTCTGAGAGTATCTATGCTTCCAAAGTCTCTCTCTTACAGAGACAGAATCACATGTAAATCAGCCTCCCTCCCCCATCCTAAAAATAAGGAAAATCTAATCTCATTTACACTTGTGGCAAATCCCTTCTTAAAGACAGCTCTAGCTAGTGCTTCTAATGTAGAGCCACATGTCAGAAACAACTGAGCAAGAAGAGAATTCACTTATGCAGTACGTTCTTTAGACTGAGCAGAGCATCTGATTCACACACAACCTGCCACCCCACTGGGAAGCTTGCTGTGGGGGAATGGCCTGATTAAACAGGAAAGGCTAAGGGAACATCTGTGTCCTTTCTGCCTACTCTCAATTCTCATCCCATGGCCTCTACCCTCCTAACCCCTCACACCAGCTCTTTTCATACTGGCACCATCTTCACCTGCTCTCCTCCCCTCTCTGCCAACCTTACTGCTTGCCGGGCCTGATTTCACTCCCAGCCCTGCGTCATTTGGTTTTCTCTGCCTGTACTTGCTTCCCAGTTGTTCCCACAGCCTTCTTCTCCCTTACACTCACTGCTTCCTTCCTTCCCCTCTGGCACACCCATGTCCTCTCTATGCCCAGATCCTCTTGCCTTCAGTCTACTCCCTCCACCCACACGCCTGCCTCTTACCACCTTCTCCTTCCCCTAGAAAGCTCCCCCCTCCCTAATTATCACTGAGGCAGCAAAGCCGAAAGTACCAGGAGGGGAAAGGAATGAAGGAAATGGGCAGGTTCAGGGTCCCCTTTAACTCAGAACAGGCCCCAGGGGCCGGAGCTGGTTTTAGGACAGCAACTCTGCTTGGCAAAGGAACCACTTGAAGCAAGGTCCCACCCCTGCACTCTCCGGCCGAGGGAGAGGTGAAGGCCCAGACCCAAGAGACCAGCCCCTGATCTGCACCCTCACTCCAGGGACTACTTTATCCCCAGGTGTTCACAACATCCCCTCACCCCTTTATTCCTCCACTTCCCCCTGCCTACATCCTTCCGCCCAGGCGGCCCCCCCATCTCGTTACTCGCACTTATTCAGCTTCCGTATCAGCGGCTGTTGCTGTTGCTCCCGCCTGGGCGCGGGTTGATGACGTCAGGGCCAATCCCCTTTAAACAGCCCAGTAGGTGCCATTTAGAGTTCCGTCCTCGTGGGCGCACATTCCCTTCTAACAGGGCCACGTGTCTCTAGGCCCTCCACGGACCCTAGAAGCGCTTCAAGCTTGAGTTCACCAGGCTCAACACAAGCCGGAAGGGGCGGGTCTTGTTGCTATAGCGCTCGCCTCTTTCTAATCCTAGCGTTTTGCCTGCGTCATCCTCGGTCGCCGGAAGCGTGCGTTAGCCGGGCTGAGGAAGATGGCGGCCGCGAAGCGGAGCGTCCTGTCGTCGTTGGCGGTTTACGCAGAGGATTCCGAGCCCGAATCCGACAGCGAGGCCGGCGCGGCGGGCAGCGATGGAGGGACGGCAGCGGGTGCGTTCCGGGGGAAGCTGCCGTTGCTCCCCCTTCCCGCAGCGCCCCCACTTAGACCGGGCTCCTCCACCGGCTGGAGAACGCCCATCCCCGGCGGGGGTCGCATCCGCCCCGCGTGTTCCCGCGGGAGGGGCGGAACACTTCTCCCCCACCCCGCCGGAGAAACGCTGCCCACTCCTCTCCGCAGCCTCTCACCCACGGGCGGGAGCCAAGTGGCGGCGGAGGAATGCCCCTACGAGAGGCGGGAACCCCCCCTCCACCAGAGCGCCCCAGGAAGGGATGAAACGCCCCCACTCATAATCTCTAGGGAGAGCCTCTCCCCGGGTCAAGGGAAATCTGCTCTTTTCCCTCCCTCCGTTGTAGCAGAAGTGAGAATATTCTTTCGGTTCCGGGAACCGTATCACCTCATCCCCGGTATGCTAATTGGGGGGCTGTAAATCTCGTGTGGTAGCTGCGAGAAGGAAGAATTTACTTCTATTCTCTCACCACCAGTAACCGGAGAAAGGGAGCAACCTCCTGTCTCCAGTCGCCTACAGAGGGGTCAGACGCTGTTTCCATCTTAAGAAAACAATCAGCATTAATAGTGAAAAGTTCTCTGTGAATCTAGTGGGAAGTTAATATATTGGGAATTACAGACCAGTCAGTTTAATTTTGGTAGCCAGAAAGATAAAGGGAGCAAATAATCCCATAATTGCTTTGTAAGCACCTAGAAGGTAGTAAGAAACAGTCAATATGGATTTGTCAAAAACAAATAAGGTCAAACTAGCCTAATATCCTTCTCTGACAGGATAAAAAGGGTAGCGGGGAGCTGGAGATGTATTATATCTCAACTTTAGTATGCCTTTTGGTGCTGCCTGCCATGACTTTCTTGTGAGCAAACTAAGGAAATACAGTTTCGCCAAACCCGCTATAGGATGTGCGTGTAAGTGGTTGGAAAACTGTACTCAGAGAATAGTTATCAATGGCTCGCAGACCAGTTGGAAGGGCATATTGAGTTGAGTCCCACAAGGATCTGTCCTAAATCCACTTCTATTCAAGATATTCATAAATGATTTGGATAAGGGCATGGAGAGTAAACTTGTAAAGTTGGCAGGCAGTATCAAGCTGAGAAGTGTCGTGCGCATTTTGGAGGACAAGATTAGAATTCAGAATGGTCTTGACAGTTTGGCGTGACAAAATAGTCTGAAATAAATAGGATGATATTCAATAAGAACAAATGCAAAGTGCTGCACTTAAGAAGCAATAATCAGTTGCACAAATACAAATGGGAAATGAATGCATAGGAAGGAATACTGCAGAAAAGGATCTCAGGATTATAGTGGATCACAAACTTAATACGAGAATGTATTAATACTGTTGCAAAGTATTAATACTGTTGCAAAGCTCACATTTTGTGCTTGCTACTGTTAGTGTCCATCTAAATCAGGGTGGATTCATCTTAATCTTTTTTTTTTCTGATTGTACTTTTTTAAGCAGTTTTCCTAAAGAAAGGTCGACATTCATTGGTTGGTAATCATTCAAATGTGTTAATTTGCAACTAAAATATAGTTGTTAAGCTAAATTTTGCTAATCAGGATGGTGCACTCTTGCTTTACACATTTAACCAGTTATGTAGCTTAATGTACATTTTATTTGGCTTCTTAATTTTTTTTTTTTTTACTATGTTAAGGAATGCATTTGTCACCATTTTCTGTTTTATTAAATCAGTCATTGTCATTGTGTGTCAAGCTGTACTTGGACACTGGAATTCAGTTAAAAGTACAAAGCCTGCATTTTAAAATTGTTCTTATTAAGAAATTTACCATAAGTGTGCTGGATACAGAAAGGAAAAAATTATCAAAACACGTTTTACAAAACTAACTTATTAAAGAAATAATCTAGTTAGTGAATTGACCGGATTATTTTTGGTCACCATATCCTTTGAAATTTTAGAACTAGTAGATCTCATCTCTTCCTATCTAGTTTTTGATTAATAGATTGGGAGAGGAAAATGAGCTTGCCTGCTTTTTCAGCTCTGTCAGTTTCTTAACTTTGAATGAACTAGTTATTGAACTGAACTAGTTGAATAAACTGAAATGAAGAAAATATTCTCTCTGCACCTAGAGAAGAGGGAACTGCTGTCAAAAACTGGTTTAGCACTTCAGCAAATTTTGGTTCCAAGTGTTTAGTCAGTGACTTCAAACAATTTGGTGGCTTGACTTTCTTTAAAAGTCAAAATAAAAACAAGTATTACTCAATATTATTTAATTTAAATGATTTGACCGTAGTGAACTTAGGCTTTAACACATGTTCTCGTAATTTAAAATTAAGTGTGTTTATAATGAGAAAAATGTATTTAATTTAAATTAAAAATTTGATTTGAAAAATCGTTTTTATCCACCCTGTTCTAAGTTAACTTTATGCCTTGATTATGCTTTTTCTGTTTGTTCCCCCCCCCCCCCCCGTGCATGGACTAGAAGAAAAAGGAGGTCTGGTGTCAGAAGCATATGGCGAAGATGATTTCACCCGGTTGGAAGGAGATGAGGATGGGTATGAGGAAGAGGATGATGAAAACAGTAGACATTCAGTAAGTAGTTTGTCCTCTTATGCTAGCTGGTCTGACTCCCCATTTAAATGTTTCTATAGTGCCTTCTATATAGGGACTTCAGAATGCTTCCATGCTTACCAAATAACTTAATTTCCTTTTGTCTGTTTTAAAATCCAAGAACTCTACCTTTAAAAATATCAGCTCAACTCATCTGTGTTGCTTGTGGCTAACTTTTTAGTTGCCATTTTGGCTCCACTTTGTGGATAAGATAAGGTACTGGCTTTATGTATTGATAGTGGAAGTATAAAATAAATCTTCATTTCTTGAAATATAAAATTGGTGTTTGAAATCCTGTAGTGGGGAAATGAAGAAGAGTGGTGGAAAGCTCAGCTGCACTTCTAAGAGGCATGGGGAAAGCCCTGTAAAAGGGCAGCTAGCTTTTTGCATGATCAGGCTGGAGGATTAGCAGGAATGAACTTGTGTAGCATCATGTTGGTTTTTCTGTGCATAATCCCACTTACTACATCAGTATCATGGTGTAGCAGTGATTTCTTGTCTAGATCTGTATGGCTTTTGTTTGTCATGAAAGCATGGCATGTTTACAACAGCATTTAAATACCAGAGTAATGTGTATCGCAAAGCATCCCTAAGACATATATAGAGAACTTCACAGGGCACCAATAAGCCAAATGTAGTTATGAGATACAAAAGGGTGGGCAGTCTCATCATGGGGCAATGGCCTAATGAGAAGCCAAACAGCTACGAATGGGGAAGTTAGAAATCTATTTTAGGGTTCCATCACTGGATCCAGCTAAGAGGAACCATCTTCTGGATCCAACCCTTGGTAGTAGGTGGTTGAGAAACATAAAGCTTATTCCGTCCTGTAGCTGCAGAAAGGAAGAGAAGGAGCTTTTCTCTCCTTGCCCTCCACAGCTCTGGCTGGTACAAGATTGTATCTCTGCTGCTTTGCCCCTTCTCTGGCCTTTTAGCTGCTGTGAGGAGTGCAGGAGGGAAGTGATTGCTGTGACTGTAATCATTCTCCACAAATTCCATTTTTTGTGACTCTTCCTTGTGATTAACTTCAGTGTCTCAGCTTCTGCTCTTAAATTCCAGCTGCAGTTTGGGACAGCTAAGTTATACTTTCACTGGCTCTGGATAGCAGAAGTGAAACACTTTTCTTGTTAAATTCATTCTTCTGCAGCTTAGAAAAGCTGTGACAGCAGAGACCCTGGAGTAACTTTTGGGTATTCAGAAAGAGTGTAAACTAATGCAGTTTCATAGTGTTATGTTGGCAAATGTAAGGGCTAAAAGCATCCTTTTATTTAAAAAAAGAGAGAGAGAGATCTTAAATTTTGCAGGAACTGATGGGTTAGGCTGAAATGCTTGCCAGGAAAACTTTCTTGTTCAACACTGAGAAGTGGATTTTTCAAGATCTGCATGCATAATTTCTTGGAATGTATAATGTAGCTAGCCACCATCTCAGAGGAGGCAAGATGTGGAGAGCATCTAACTTTCTTCAAATCTCTGTACTAATTATTCATACACTTCCAGTTATGTATGTGACTTATAGCCCTGGATGGTCTACGACCCAGTTACCTAGACTAAGCTTTTGTCTGTGTTTCCATATGTTTACATTGGTCATAGTATTGGCTGGTAGGCTACGTCCCTAAATAGTTGTGTGTAACTTGTATGTTTGGTTTTGTAAATAGTACCTATATGTTAAGGCAGTAGTCTTCTAAAAATCCTTTGCATTGTCTAAGACTTAATATTCGTGGAAGTATTTCACCCCATGTTCTCTTTGATTTAATAGCCATTTTAAATAAAGGGTCACCTTCACATTGGTAAAAGCATCACGAGTCTGATAAAAAACATGGAATTATTCTCTACTGTGATCTTTATATACATAATGTATATTGAATTTTCTGGCAGTTTGACTTCTTAGTTAAGACTGAGATGGCACTTTCGTTAGCAACGTCTTTCAGGTTTTAAATTTCTAATTTTTTTTCTTTTTGAAGCTGAAACATCAAGTGTTTGGGTTCGGGCTAGAGTTGAAACTGAATGGAGAAGTTTGGGGAAAATCCAGTCAGCGGTCTTTAAGTTATGGGAGGACAAAAAATATTCTTTCTATTTCTTCAAAAGTGACATGTTTTGACTTGAGTTATGTATTTACCTCTAAAGATACATAGCTTTGTATGACCCAAGTTCAGTAGCTAATGGAGCAGTGTAGTCCCAGCTGATGAT